TTTAAGGTTTCAGATTTTAGAATTTTAAAGGTAGAAGTTTTTAGAGTTGGATTTTAGGGTTTTAAGGGTTTAATAATTTTTAGAGTTTTGGATTTCATGGTTTTAAAAGTTTGAGAGTTCAGGGTGTTGATTTTAGGGTTTTGATTTTTGAGTTTGGATGTTTAAAGTTTAAATTTTAGGATTTTGATTTTAGGACTTTGAAATTTAAGATTTAGAGGGTTAGGATTTATATTTTTTAATTTTAAAAACGTGAACATCTATAAAAATTCCTAACATGTAGCAGACTTTCAAATTAAGTTCAGTTTTTATGATTTTCAAAAATTAATTAAAAACTTTTCATATATATTTTTTATAAATTTAATTAATAATAATATTATTAATTTATTTATTGTTTATTATATTATATTCTTATTATTATTATTTAATAATTTCTCAACATTTAGGTAAACTTATATTTTTTTAAAAGACAGTTTTTATTCCCTTTGTAATTTAGGTAGGAAATTTTTTTTTATCACTTTATTCTTATTATCACTTTTTTAGAGATTTTTTTTAGCATTTTTTAGTTATTATTCTCTTTTATTTATTTTTTAATTTATTTTATTATTGTTTTATTATTTTAATTTATTTTACTATTATTTAAAAAATAAAATTGAAATCATTTTTCATTCTTATTATTGTTATTATAATTTAGTTATTATAATTTTATTTATTATATATTATTTAATAAGGTTTGTTTTAAAAAATTTTATAAAATTATCAAAAACTTTAACTTTATTACTCTTTATTTATTTATTTTGTTTATTTATATTATTAATAATTATTATTATAAAACAACAAATATTTATTCTAAAAAATTTAAAGGTATTAAACATGCATAAATAACAATAGTAAAACTAAAATAATATAAATAATATAAAAATAAAAAAATATATAAAAAAAATCAGAACTGGACCGATCAACAGTCCAATCAATGCCAATTTGGTAAGATTGGTGGTGTGGAGGTTCGGTCCAGTCCGATCTAGTTTAACTAAACTGGTTAAAGGCTAAGGAATGCTCAGTCGTCGGGTCGGGTGCACAGAGCCCAAATCGGGTCGAGCTAATGCACGGATCCTTTTAGGGCTCAAAACGACATCATTTTGTTTCTTCCTAAATGGCATCGTTTTTCCTTTTTTTTTCTCTCTAAATGGGGAGAGGCTCCCCGGTAGCTTTGTCAGCCACTCCCTGTTTTGCCACCAACAGACATCGGTTGTCAGTCCAGTCATCAAAAAATTGTAAAATTTGCCAAAAGGCTTGCTTTATCCTTATGAGCTTTAATCCGACCTCCGTTTTATCGAGAACAGTCTCAATCCACATAGATCAAGGTTTGAAATTTTAGTTTTTTTTTTTTTTTTATAAACTAAACTCTTTTTTTTTTCCTTTTACAAGGGCTTTGGCATTAATGGTTCCTTCCTACGAGAAGGATTATGTTTGTAATTTTTTTGTGTTTTTTTATTTTTTTATGGTTGATTTTTTTTTTGGTTTGTTTTCTAGTGGTTTTTTGTTTGGTTAATGCCTGGGTTAAGGTAAAGGTTGGTGGTGCATAGAAACGAGGCTAGGGGTGGTGAGGTGCAAGACTAGGTGTTAGATCTGTCTAAGGGTGGAACTATGGTCTAGTGGGATGTTTGAAGCTTGGTGAAGGTTGAATAGAGGTCTGATCTCACACGAGTGAAGGCATGAGCACTTGGTATGAAGGTGCAGAGTGCTGGGGTGAGAGGGATCGATGTTTGGGGTTCTTTCAGCTTAAAGAAAAATGTGTGGTATTTAAGAGCTTCAAAGGGAGGAGTAAATGGTTTGGTAAGGTGTGGCTAAGGCTACAAGAGAGTGGACGGCTGATGGTTTCATGGGGCATGGTGCTAGTAGGGATAGGGTATGGGTTCAGTGGTGCCGTGAACGACACCGCTGTTCCCTTTTTAAATTTTTTTATTAATATATTTAATTAATTATTAATTTTAATATTAATAAATAGAACTTGAAAACATGATTGAATCTAGTATATTCAAACAAAATTCGATATCTACAAGTATCAAATTTGAATTATCAAAATTGAAAATGATTTGAGATTCAAAATAATCTGAATCTAAAGCAATCCAAACTTAAAATAATCTGAATTCGAAATTGATTGAAATTTTTTAAGATCCAAAATAACCTAAATTGAATCAAATCAATTTAACCAAATTAACTTGTCCAATGACAAGTCTTGTCTATACAATATTTCTAATTAGAAATAAGAATCACTGTTAATATATAAACAGACAACATTAAGGGGGCATTTGATTCACAGATTTTTAGATTTAGAGGAAAATTGATATTGAAGGGTAACGGGTGATTCCTAGAGTTTTTTTATTTAGAGAATGTAAAATTTTGTATTTGGGTATAGGGATGTAAGTTTTTTACTTTATATATTATTCTTAATAACAAGTAAATAACTCGCCTTGACTCGATCCATTATCATCTCTAATAACACTTAATTAACATGAAAATATAAAAATAACTTATTTATTTAACATTATATAAAAAATTTTAATTATAAATTATATATATATAGTTAAATATTTTTAAAATATTTATATAGATTTTATTAAGTTGCATGGAGTTTAATTACTATTCTAACATTAATTGTTTCAACGTAAATGATGTCAGATGGCCATAAAGGTTAAGAAGAGAAACATTTTTATAGATAACATTTTGAAGTAAGAAAAGGTATTGAATATAAAAAAGATGATTTTTTTTTTTTTTGCAATAAACGTCGTCTTTTTTAAAAAAGTATTCGTTTTAATTGTTAAAAGCAAATAAATTTTTGTATCTAAAATTTTTTCATAATATATTTTCAACAAAGGTCGTTTTTTTAATCTTAAAAATATTAAGTTTGTTGAAACTATAGAATTCTAAACAATAAAATTTTTTCTTAATATATTTTAAATAAAGATTAATTTTTTAGATTAAAAACATGATCTTTGTTATATTTTCAACAAAGATATATTTTTTTCCCATGGTCTTTGTTTGAGCTATAAAAAAATAATTTTTCATAATATAATTTTAATAAAGATCACGTTTTTAATCTTAAACTCATGGTTTTTGTTGAAAATATAATGAAGATCACGAATTTAATCTAAAAAATATGATCTTAGCTTAATATTAATTAAGAAAAAAATTATTTCATAATATCTTATAAAAAATTTATTATATTTTTAAGATAAATAACGTTATTTATATAATTTGAAAATGTAATTTACTGAAGGTAAATGAAAAAATATTTTTACTTTTTCTCTTAAATCTTAGTAAAAAAACTCAATGAGATGATGGTTTTAATTCCCTTAATCTTTTTCCTTTTTGACAAGTTGAAAATGTAAGATTTATGTGTGGGGGAAAATTTTTCAACCAAATTAAGGAATAGATAACGAAAAATTAGATTCCAAAAGAAAAAATTAAAATCCATGAACTAAACATCTCTAAATTTAAGAATTGAAAACATTAAAAAGAATTTTCAAAAAAAAAAAGAGAAAAACATTAAAAACAAAAAAAAACACACAAAAGTAGTATATAATTAAATCGATTGTCTAACTTTTGACAATAATCAAAATTAAATAGTAATTTCTTTCAAAAAATTAAATAGCAATTATAACTATTAAGATTATACTTTTGTTTCAAATTAACTCTGATTAATATTAATATGTGAATTGGATTAAAACTTAGTTAATTAAAGTTAGCATTGAATACAATTTTTAATTGATTGTAATATTATTTTTTTTATAAATATTAAATTAAAAATATTTTAAAATGACATTTTGAAAATATAATGAATAAATATATCTATTTTCATCCATTGATAAATTTCTCTGCATCCATGCTACAAATGGCATTTTAGAAATATAATAAATAAACATGCACATTTTTGTCAATTCAAAAGATTTTTCACATACTTACTTTTGTCGATGTTATAGATTATAGATATATAATTAAAACAAAAGACCATTCAGCATTATTTTTTTCTTGACCAAAATATAGATGAAATTTTGTATCAAGAAAGAAAAAAGATTAAATACTTGATTCTAAAAAATCGAGAGGACAAATAGAGATATCAATAGATAAAGTATGGGATGGATAAATCATTCTTTATTCTCATCATTGAATTTTTATATTATATCTATTTCAACATGCATACCTAATAAAAATTTTAAATTTATCTCTATTCTCATTCATGCATGAGTATGAATAATTCCCATGACTAGCTTTTTTCAAAAATAAAATTTGTAAAAACCGACTTTTATTTTTTTATTGTTATTTTTCATATTTATGTATTTTTTTATAAATATATATTTTTAGATAAAAATATATTAATTTTAATTAATCTAAAATAAATTTTATATTATTTAATAAAAAATCTATTAACTAAATATATATAAATATATAAAGTACGAGTATATGGTAACTATATTAATCATCTCCATTTCTTCATCTAATAAAAAATTTTAAAATTATATCTATCTTTATTCTCAAAATTTAACATCCATTCATATCTCCATCACAATTCGGATAAAAAATCAAGTTATTTATGAGTAAGACATTCGGAGGGACAAATACATTGTCTTTCACGCAAAGTAAAGATGGAAGAGAGACATTTATGCCTTAATCTTAATCATTGATTAAGGGCTTTAATTACAAAATTCAAGAAGATTAAAGTGTAACAGTAAAAGAACCTCTAAAAATCACCTTAAAACTTAAATTAAGATTCATTGAAACTTTTTTTATGTAAAAATTGGTAAGAAATCCCTGACAGTATTCAATCAGGAAAAATATCAGAACATACCCAAAAAGGCAAAAACTTTCTACTCCTGAGTTTGGACAGGAATCAAAAACTTTCTTATAAAATTCCTTTGTCAACTCCATACAAATAGCCACATTTAAATTGGACCCATTTTGTTATTAGAACATCAAAATTAAACATAGGGACATTGGTAGAGATGGCTCCGCAGTTTGGTTGTGCTAGAGTTTTCTTTGCAATGTTATTCCTGTTGGTATCCCTCACCAGAGCTTACAATGCAAAGATTTTCAATGTAAGAAATTATGGTGCCGTCGCCGATGGCCGGACAGACAACCGAAAGGTAAGTATTAATGCCGGAAATATTAATATGCATTTTTATGTGTTCTTTTGCAATTTCTTCTTATTCACTCTTTCTCTGAGTAATTTTTACATGTGTATGCATACGCATGTGTGTTTAGGCTTTTTTGAAAGCATGGAACGACGCTTGCAACCAGAAAGGAATTTCAAGAGTATATATCCCTAAAGGAGTTTACATGTTGGGAACAGTGGAATTTTCAGGTCCATGCAAAGGTCCAATAACATTTTTGATAACAGGAGATTTAAAGGCTCCAGGGGGACCTTCTTTAAATACTGAGGAATGGATAGCTTTTCGATATTTAAACAAGTTGATAGTGAAAGGTGGTGGAACATTGGATGGTCAAGGAGCCTCTGCTTGGCCTTTCAATGATTGTGACAAGAACACTAATTGCCAGTCTCTTCCTATTGTAAGTATAAATTTTACTACATTTCTTTTCTATCGATGGTTCTTTGTTTGTTGTTTGTTGAAACTTATTTTTCTATTATATATTTTCTTGGATTTGTTTGCTTTTGGATGAAATATTTTAAAGAATTTTTTTGAAATGACTATTTTTTAGAGGAAGGTTTTTAATTATTTTCCCTTTGGCTGCATTTTTTAAATATTGCTATACTGTTGTCTTTGTGTGCAATTTGATTAAATTTTTTTTGAAAAAAATAATTTAGGTATTCATTATGCCTAATAACAATCTAAGTAAAAAATTTTAGTGGTAGGAGAGGCTGGAAAGGAAGAAGAAATCAGTTGGGATCCGCTTAGGATGAAAAAGGAAGTAATTGCTCATTATTTCCAAGAACATTGTTTCATTCCTAACAAAGAATATAGAAGTATTTTATTTGTAACAGAAAAATAAATAATAATGTAAATATTGCAATTATTATTAATAAATTTGTAACAGAAGTACAAATGTAAATATAGCAATTACTATTCATAAATTAATTATGACCACTGACCAGAAACTCATATTTAATTAAAACAAAACCATTTTAAATTAATATCTATTATACTTATTATGTATTCGAAAAAAAAATTAACTCTTATCTTCTTAGAGTGCTTGATTTTTAGTTCTAGGGATTAAAGTTCTGTTCATTTCAATTATTAAAAAAATATTTTAAAATTAATAATCACTTGAAATGTATTCAAAAATAAATCATTCCAAACAAATAAAAAAAAAAGGAAAAACCAAATTCCCTAAAAAATTTTGATATCAAGCAAACCATTTACACATATATATCTAGATGAATAGATTCATCCCAAATTGCATGCTAAAAACTATTTTTAGGTTCAATAACACTTCATTCAAATACTTTATTGGGCCAACTGTTTGAAATTGTTTAGTAATTTTACTTTGCTGATAGAAAAATGGATATCTAACTTTTTCTGATACCCTGATTTCAGTCAATGACATTCGACTTCGTGACGAATTCCAGGATTAAGAACATAAGATCAATCAATAGCAAGAATGCTCATTTCTCATTTTTCGCCTGTGAGAATGTAAATGTGTCAAAAATTGAATTATCAGCCCCAGCCGAAAGTCCCAACACAGATGGAATCAAGATTGGAAGTTCGACTAATATCCGAATTGCCAGCTCTAGAATAAGCACCGGCGATGATTGCATAGCCATCCTCCCTGGAAGCACAAACATCGATATCTCCTACGTTTACTGTGGCCCTGGACATGGAATCAGTGTAGGAAGCCTTGGCAAGTCTGAAGGTGAAGACAATGTCAATGGGTTGGCTGTAAGGCATTGTACTTTCAATGGAACAGACAATGGGGTTAGAATAAAAACTTGGGAATCTCCCTGGAGAAGCTCTGCTTCCAATTTCATATTTGAAGAAATTTTCATGCACAAAGTTCGCAATCCAATTATTGTTGATCAGACATATTGCCCTCATCCTCCATGCAATCAACAGGTAATTTATTTTGTGCCTTCTATCCCTCTTAAATGTATCAAAATTTCATTGGATACTTTAAAAATGAGATACATCAATTTATGGTAAGCAAAATTATTATTGTTGCCTATGAAAGAGAAGGGATAACAAAGGCTAATCCTGATGCTTTTTTTTTTTTGCCAATTGATATATTTTTGCATCAAAATTCAATGAACTAATCTTGCTGTTGGTTTGCAGACAGCCTCTCATGTCCAAATCGAAGATGTCACATACAGAAACATATGGGGTACATCCAGTTCACAGATTGCAGTTTCTATGCAATGCAGCAAAAATTTCCCATGCAAAAACATAGTGATGAAGGACATCGATTTGGCTCATCTTGGAAACGAAGGACCTTTAAAATCTTGGTGCTCCAATGTAGATGGCCGTGTCTATGGCCGACAGAATCCTCCCCCTTGTTTCTAGTACTACTCTTGCAGCATTTCCATTTCATAATTTCTTTAGGATTACTCTTCTAATCACTCTCTACATGTGATTCTGTCCTCAGAGAATTGGTTGCAAATATTTTTCAGTAAATATAGCATCTAGCTTTCTTTATTTTCCTTTTCTATAAAATTAGAAAATTGTACTTGTGATTGTTTTAGAATTTGGTTTTGCCCATAAAAAATTTGGGTTTATATTTAAAATTAAGTACTTGCTTCTAATAAATTATTTTACTCAGCAAGAAAGAAAGGAAAACAAGTTATCAGTGGGAAAAAATAACCTCTTGATGATAAAATTAAAGAGATCACTTGCTTGTCATTAAAGAGATAGAGGTAGTCGCGCATTCGAGGTAACCAAACTCCTCTATCCCCCGATGAGTTGGTTCGGCATTTGCTAGATGACCTATTCGGTGAAACTTAGGCCTCGGCCTGTTGTTAACTAAAGCAGTTAATCCGCTCTTATGTACACCCAAAAAAAATAATGGACATACTACCAAAATATCAATTAAATTTAAAGATAATAAAATAATTTGTATTCAACGATTTTATAAGGTGTTTTTTTTTTTAATTTGAAATCAAGTTGAAAATGAGTGTTCTTTTTTAAAAAAAAAAAAAAATTGAATTGAAAGCAAGTTTTAAGATATTTTATTAGATTTGTCTTAAATATATATAAATATATTTTTTATTATATATTAATTTTATATTTATATATTAATAGAATTATTATTTAATATTTTAACTTAAAATATTAATTTGTTAAAATATTATATTTATATATAATAAAATATAATCTATATTAAAAAATAATATTGTTATAAATATAATATTAAATTAATATTATTAAATTATTTAAATCAAATGCAAGTCAAACGCAAATTATACATTTATATATCAAATCAAAATCAAATATATTTTTTAAAAATTAAATCAAAATCAATTAAAACCCAACCAGTTATCATCCCGGATGAGATTTTCCATGAGACATACATCGAGAGAATAAGAATTAAACCTGTTAAGTTTTTCTAAAAGCCGTAAACAGTATTGGGCTTCTCAGGTTTTGTGCAACTCTTTTGCATTTGTATCCAATAAAAGGCACATTCTTGGGTAAACCAAACAACGGCCTTTTGGGTCTTGCTGAATTCGAAGTGTACAGATATATTGACTCTCAGTAGTCTACTTATTTAAATACATTATTCAAAGATTAAAAAAAAAATTAGATAGAACAAAAAAAGAGATAAAAAAATTTATTTAAACCAATAATACGAGTCATATTAAATTGTTAAATTTTAAATTTATTAGTAAATTTTTTTAATGATTTGTAGGAAAAGAATTGTATCATTCACATTACCAAAACGTAAATCAAGACATTGTTTCTTTCCTTCTTTGTTTATGAGATATAATTACAGAAAAAAAAAAAAATTGATCATTACATACAAGAAAGAACCCCATCAACCCACAAGGCAATGCCTCATTTGCCGTCTCCCATGGATTCATGATTAAACATTTTTGTTCATTTTAGTTCTAAATTTTCGAACATAATGATTATTAAATAAAATGAGATTTATCCGATGCACAGATAAAAAATTTTTATTAAATCATTTTCATTATTTAAAAAATAATTTAGTTGATTCAAAATTCATTATTCATTAATTACTAATAATTTTCAAATATAATGATAAACTATTGATGTTTTTTAAATTATTTTCAAATTTTAAATCTAAAACTTAATTCAAATGATTCATATAACTATCCTTAAAAAATAACATCTAATAAATCTAAACTTAAATTTTAAAACCTTTAACCCTTACCTTATTCTCATATTGCGGCCTTTATACCAAAAAAAAAAAAAAAAAAATTTATTTCCAAATTTCTAGTATTTTTGGAGGAATTTGATCCGGTGTCCTTCCTAAAGACAGTAGACCTGCACCAGTTCTCTAGCTAACTTGCCAGCTATCTCCATTCTCCACCTAATCAGCATGCCTATAACCATCATTAGAAATATATGGAAACCAGAATCGAAGAAACTCAACATGACATTGTCAAAGCAAAGGGATGGAATAAGGTAAAAAAATTCTCAAGGTCAAGCTTCATTCCGAAGCATGGTCACGATATCTTCAGTCAAAGATATATAAAAGAAAAAAAAAAGCAACTGTTGCGACAGAAAAGATGGAGATAAGGAAACAAGGAAAGTTTCACCATCCCTTCAACACAACAAAGTTTCTCTCCATTGGGAAGTCACCCAATTCCATCCTAGGATCTTAAAAGGCTTGGTTGATCGGTTAATGCAATGTTGAACGGGTAACTCGCGGCCTCACAGGTGTCTTTGAAGGACTTACCCTGAAAGTTAAAGAATTTAAACATAGCAGCATTAGCTTAATGAACGTCAAGCATGGAGTTTAGAGCAACAATTCGGGGACACACCTGATGGGCTGGGTTCCTAGCACCATCCCACTACAATTCAGTGCAATTATGGCACTTTCCGCCTGTCAATAAAGGGGAAAATTATCAGTCCATGGCAAGGCATAAAACATCGTAGAAGTAACTAGTAAAAGTAATAGAATACTGGTTTCATTAACTCATCAAGCATCATCAAATCTTTTTGGATGTCATATATGTAAAAATACATGCATAAAGGCATCATGCTTTCTGCTGATGATGATGGATCTGGTATAAATGTACAGCTGATTTAATGCAAAAGTGGATGGACAGTTGCATATCATAGCAAAAGCAAGCTGTTATGTGGCAAAAGAACTCCATCGTTAACAGACAGTTTGATCATGCAACCATTTCCTGTAACATCTATGGAGATGATCTGCAATATTTTAATGAACTAAGAAAGAAGTCACTCAGCTCACATGATCAATCGACCCTTACAAGCAAAACAAAAAAAAAATGCTTATTGGAATTTTATTATATATATATATATATGCACAACTGCTTAGTAACTACCGTCGACAATTTCTAAGATTCCAAAAATTGACAAAAGTATATAAAATCAAAAGAAAATCAAGGAAGATAGAAACTTCTACTCCATTTAGCTGATCTCAGAAAAGTCAAAGAGTTTTAAGAAAAGTATTAATTGAGCAAACCAAATATCAAGTGTCTGGCAATTACATACTTAAGAAGTGGGATGGAGATTACCCATGGAAAAGCTAAATTATGAAGAATGCGACTCAGTTTAAATCCATTTTCTATTATGGAAGCAGACTTGCTTACAAGCAAATTGGCTTTCACATGCAAGCAAACCAAGAGAAGAGAAACAAAATGTAAATACATAGCAAGATATAAACTGAAAATATGTTCACTAAGTTTAGAAATAAGTAACTTCTGCACTGAGCTCAAAGCTGTTAAATTTGTCAATTCATATCCTCTAGAAAACTTCAAATTGATCCAATTGATTTCCCGTCCTCTAAAGTTGAATAGTTCATGTCTAGTAAGCAACAGTTACATCAAGATTCAAAAAGGATATAAAAATAACCTAATATTCACTTGTGTAAATGATGCCGATAATTTAGTTTGTCATAAAGCACTCTTTAATGGGTAATGCAGATACAATTTCATAGGCAAAGCACAATAATCTCATACATAAGACTTACTAAACTGAGCCACTTGAATCTTCACCTTTTTTATTTAGTTCCTATGACAAGTATATGGCCATCATAATCATCAAACATGTTATGCTCAAAGGTTTTGTAGCAAAAATCTCGAAGGCCAAACTAAAATCCAAGAAAGTACATGAGGTTATAGGATTAATCAATCCAATAATACCTATTGTCACATTCTAAATGCAAATCACTCAAAATAAATATTCAGGAAAATAAAGAAGCTCTGGTAATGGATATTAGCTATGGGAAAGCTAAACATCATTCTGAAACAATTACAGTAGCATCCCCTCAATACTGAATATTATTTAACTTGTTTTCGGTTCCTTTCACATTAAAATGGCTTCTCCTCCTATTTTTGTTTCCGCTTGGAACATGACTAAAAAAAAACATATCATATATCTTACACCACTCCATTCAGTCAATAGTGGTTCAACGCATGACATAAGTTGCCATAATCTACAAAAATTCTATCTCTAGGCTAAAAGAAAGATCCCTAAAATGCTTTACGTAAGAAACCTGAAGACACATATGCCAGTTTTTAGATTATGAACCTAAACCCAGAGATACAATCATAGAAAACACTCAAAAGGTTTGCATTGTCCAAAACAGTCACATGATTCCATCCAACAAAGCAAAATATAGAACCGTAAAACCTCTTGACATTAAAGGTGATACAACTATCACTACTAGAATATTTTTTAGTATGGAGACCCAACCATCTAATCTTCTTGATATCATTACTGATGCTCAATTGCCTGCTGCCATTAGATAGATGGATTAAATCCGCAGTTAGATATACCAAAAACAAAGGAATAGATCATGAAAAGATAGACTACTAGACTACTCTTCATGTTTATCAGCACAGGCTAAGAAGGAAAGGTTAGAAGCGAAGACATGTCAACCTGTAAAAATACTTCAATGCAAAGCCTATTGCATGGCGTGCTCAATCTCAGGATTTTGTAGCGTAAACTCTTGTTTGTTAGTAAGTAAATAATAGAGAACAGCTTCCAGATGTCTGCAACTAATTTCAGAGAATCTGATAGCTGAAGTTAGATTATTATTTCTCAAAGCCAAAGTCCGAATACTATCATCACAAAGGTGAATTCATGGGCTAAAAATGTGAACTAACCCCTGTTTTTTCTGCATGGAAAAGATTGTAATCTCTTTTCCCCAACTAAACATATTACAGCCAAATATAAAAGGCCATAAAATAAGTTACTTGAAGGATCCTATCTTGCCTAGCGATGGAAAAAAAAACATTCCTTTGAAAAGACCAGGTAGGGTCATATGGTCAGGACAAGCCTCAACGTATTTTATTGGCATAAATTTCTGTAATGTGCTATTGCTATTACTAAACATGCTTTTATATGCTCAATGGCTGCAACAAATCTGTATATAGATAGAAGACTTGTTCCAAGAAAAACTCAAGTTTTATATAGACTTCATTTAATCTACTAATCATCTCTATTTTTAATGTAAATTTCTTGAAGATAGAGATGAAGTTTTCACTCCAAGAAGCTCACTAATAGCACGAACATTTGGCAAGAATTAGCAGAATGGGTGGCAGCTGTTTTTAGGGAGAGAGAGAGAGAGAGAGATTTAAAAAAAAAAAAACTAAAAAGGAATTGCAAATATGTTCAAAATTTAGAAAGAAATTATAAATGAAGGCAAATTTTAGTCAACCATATCACGTGATTTAAAGCATATAGGGAAAAATTGGAGGCTACATTTGCGCAAATAGTTTACAAACAGACATGGATGACATATTATTATAAATGATTTTAACAATATAAAATGTTATACTGATTAGAATCAAAGCCAGAAACATAGTTTACAAAGCATCATAACATTATCTCAAATAATTTTGAACCCAAATCTTTTTCAACATCAATCCTATAAACATAAACTTACCATGGCAAATTCAACAAAAGCAATACGGGTTGAATGCACTTGATCCCCTAAAAGCCTCAGACGAGTGACCTGAGAATTAAAAGAAAATGATGTCAACCTTCAAAAGCTATCTACCTTTAATCTTCTTGTTTAAAACCATTAGAAAAAGGCATGCATATAACTTTTACTGTACTAACCTCACCACAGGCTGATTCAAAGAAAGTCTTCACTTCAGCATGAGAAACCTTCAGTAAAAGTGAAAATGCTTGAGTATTAGATCAACTAAGTAACATTAATAATGTACATGCTTGTGGAAGTGATGATAACCAATTACTTCAGTAATAACAGTCCAGAACTCAAAAATTCATCTGAGCAAACTCAAGGGTTACCTTCTTGTCAATATTTGTACAATAAACAGTCCTGGAACACATTTCCCTTTCATCTTCTGACTGCAATTGTAGTTATTATAATTATCAACAGTGAGGCTAGAAAGAAAACTATAGAGATCAGAGAGAAACTCCCAGAGCTATTTAGTAATGGTGAAACAGCATGGGATACGGTGAAGCCTTATGCAAAACTGAGACAGCTAAGAGCCAGAAAGTTATTCATCCATACCCTAGGGAGAAATGTAGGGTTCACAGGAAGGATGGCAGTTTTTGAAGGCAAGACCCTAACTGGATAAAACCCTAGCATTGTCCCACCAAGGTTCAAAGCAACTCTTGCTCCTTCTGTGAAAACAAGGTTCATATAAAATGTAACATGTGAATAAATGTACATCGATATAAAAAGAAGTTTAAATTCAGTCCATAGCAGCTGCTTACCTTCATCTGCAAATTCCACAAATGCAAAGCGGAGAACAGAATGTGGATCACCACAAACTCGGCAATCAACAACCTTCAATAATCATTCCCAAAATTTCAGAAATGTCATATATACATTAATCTGTCACATAAGCTATCAAGTAGAAAGCAATCGAATCAAGTAGTATCAACCAAAGCCACAACATCCTTTTCTTCTCAACGAGAAAGGAGATACTAAACTCTCAAAATCAAATTTGAAAGCTCTTTTGGCATTTTAAGGGGGCTCTAAATGAAGAACCAAAATAAGAAATAAAGAAACATGCTTTAACAAGATACGAAAATGGAAAATCAAAGTCTTTTGTGTGTATCGCACAAAGAGAGAGATCTATAGATGGAAATGATAAAGCTAGAATATTATTGTAAATTACTCTAAGGAATGAAGTTGTGCAAGTCGCAGCATTAGTCAGGAGAAAGCAAAATTACAACAAAAGCTTTAAAGCCAAAATTTTAACTTACTTGTCCACAATTACTAAATAAGTCAGCAAGTCGCTCCTCAGTAATCTAAAACAAAGAAAGAAATGATTTTAAGAAGTAACTTCTCCAAATCAGAATTAAACAACAAAAATCACTAAATGTTGCCACTGTTTAAACTTACAGTCTGATCAATATCGGAAACATATACTGTTCGCCTAATACTATCATCTCTTTGAGTTCGAAAAGCTCTACCATTAAGCCTTCTTCTACCCTGGTTGAAGTTATTTCTTTTCTGAAAAGCACAATTATAACCATTTACCAAATGTAATCAAGGAAAAAGAAAAGAACAAATACAAGATGGTCACGTGTCGATATTCAGCATAGCATATCCCAAATATGACAAATAGAGGAAGAAAAGCTAACTTCAATTGCACCAAAGTTCCCAAAAGTCAATCAAGTAAATAATTAGACAATAACTAGGCCAACTCAAGCCCTTAAAATCATAAACGCCAGCAAAACCCAACACTTTCTCAATCCAAAGGGAAAAAATCACAGACCAATTCAAAATGCAGAACTCAATATGCAAAGATACAGGAATCAAATTGTCAATCTAAACCCATTAAGATACAAAACGAAGTAAATCCTAGAACCCCAATTTAGCTATTGAATCAAAATCATATTCATCAAAACCCCCAAAACCCATTTTTCCAAGAGACAAAAACAATCCATAAAACAAATAAAACAAAAAATTAGCAAATACCCATCGTTCAAAACATAAAAGTAAAAAAAAAAAAAAAAAGCGATTAGAAAATGTAAATGATCAGTGAAAAGAAAATACCCTTCTGTTGGAGTAATTCTCATTCCCATCTGATTGCTTATTAAAAGGCACCTGATTAAAATTATCAATATTTTTGGTCTGATTATGATGATAAGATGATGGGAAAAATTCTTTGGCCAAAGGATTCAACTTAGTGAACATATCAACCAGCTTTTGCACATTGAATTCCTTTTCTTCTGATTTAGCTGTTTCCACCACCAAATTGTTGTTGGTGTTATTAGCAGCAGCTGCTGCTGCCTCACCTGACTTGTCAGCAACTGCAGCCATAGAATCAAAGCCCCAAACCCGGCACACAAGAAAAAAAAAAAAAAGCAAATGATAAGAAGAACTGGGAATTTGCTTTTGTAAAGTTGTTCTCTTATTTCTTCTTTCTTACTGTAGAGCAAGAAAGTTGAGAGCTTTAGATGGAAAATATGAACATTTTTTTATGATTGCTGATGCCTAACAATAAACAATTTGTCTATAAACGGAAATATGGTGAAAATGCAGATTGGGTTTCCTTTTTTTCCTTTTGGATGTGTAAATTAAATAGATAAAATTATCTCAAATTATTTATAAAAAAAAAAAAAAAGATAGAGAAAAGGAAAGTAAAAGAATTAGGGTTTTGAAGGAACTGAAATGAATGATCAAAGAAAGAGAAAAATTAGGGAGAAATTTGGAAAAAAGAACAACAGTTTTTTTGGGGGTTTTAATTATCTTTTTAACTAAAAAAAGGAATTTGGTAGAGAGTAATAAAGTAAGGAACGTCAAAACTAGGGAAGGGTAGGACGGTCTATAACGTAAAAATGACTTAAGATTTTTTGTTAATTTCTATTTTTCTCAAAATATTTTCTTTTTTATAATTATAATAATTGGTAGATTTGGAAATGTCAGCATCATCCAGCTACTATTTTTAGGCTTTGTTGGGATAACAAATCCCTATTAATCTTTTTTTTCACATTTTTTCTTTTCTTTTTATTTTTCAAAAATCTCACAATTTCTTAACTTTTATTTTTCATTTTTTATTATATTAGAAGCAACCTTCTCAATTTCTTATGAATTATTATTATAAATAGAGTCAATTTTAAAAATTCAATTTTGGTAGGATTAAGAGAAAAATATTGTCCCCTTTTTTCCTAATTTTTTACTCTTTCTTAAACAATATCATATAAATATATATATGAATTTTCTTTTAACAATGTTGACTTGAAAATTAATAAAATAATATAAAATAATAAAATAATAAAATATCATTTTTTTAAAACTTCATGAAACAACTTTATTTTAGTTGTAATCACATTGTTTTTTTTTTTTAACATACTTTTATAAATATTGAGGGTGACATTAAAAGAATTGGTACTTGTGCCTAAAGTTTTAATAAATCATATTTAATTATGGGTTTTCAATTTCATTTTTGGTATATAATTTTGAAAAACAGCTTTTAGCTTTTGTAAAAACTGAAAAAAAAAAAAAAAAGGTAGGGTTTAATGGGTTGAAATTCCTAATTAAAGTTTTAGTAAAACATTTTATTACAAAATTAATAGACAAATTTAATAATAAAAAATTTAAATAGCAAAAGATAATTTTAATTATTTCACATATTTGCTCAATTGGGTCAAACATTGACTATGTTTTATTAATAGTTATTGTGCCAAAATACCTCAATTTATTATGTCAATTATTACAAGATTTAAATTTTAATTTTTAATTTACCCTTAAATTTTTTATTTTAATACTTATTTTAATTAAATACATAAATTTTTTTAAATTTATAATTTTTAAATATCAACTTTAATTATACGTCAATTGATTTAAAAGTCGATTGAAAATTTTTTAAAAATGTATATTATCAATAAAAAAAATTACATATTGGGCAATTTAATGCTAATTCTAGATCAATCTTGTTGATTAATTTGATTATTACAATATTTAAAAAAATAAGTGCAAAATATTATTTATAATTTTCTTATTTTTATATGATTAGGGTATTTTTATATTTTATTTGAGTCTAATCTCCCTTTAAATAATTTTAAAAGCATAACTTTTCATAGATGCATTTAATTTTTTTTTTTTTCAAAATGGTTTCTAACTTTGAACCCTGATTGATAAAATCATTGTGAAAATAATTTATTTTATTTTTGATGTTATAATTTAATAATTTTAAAATCAAACTTGTAATTGTTTTCTTGTAGTTAGTGCTTGGTGGCATGTGATAAGAAGAAATCAACGTGATTTAGGTGTGTTTGACAATTCGATTATGTTAATGCAATGCTGATGTTTGTCTTCAAAAGTGGTAAAAAAATTTCAATCTCCGCAAAGTCAATTCGTCTGCCATAATCATTTAATTCAGATTTATTGACAAAACTATTCCACTTTCTATTCTTAAAATAAAACAGTATAAAATAAAAGGAGAATAATTAAAACATTTTTAAAAACCAAAAAGTTCATACATTTATCTTATTGAAATATTTTAAAAAAAAGGTTTGTGTCTTTTTTTTTTAATTTTCTTTTGAGCTATCAATTGATGAAGCAATTTTCTTGAAAGGGGAAAAAGTAAACAAAGCGGCAAATGCTAAATTATTACGAAATCACTGAGTGGAAAATTTGGAGCCTACCATTGACAAGTTCTGTACAGTACCTGGAAAATCACATACTTGATTGAATTATAGTGTAGAAAAATAATAGTTCTATTTAATATTCCTAAAAGCTTTAAACGAATATATTAATATTCTTAAAAAAATCAAGATTATTAAAGAAAAAAAATATCACTGTTAATTTAAATTAGAGATGTCCATAGATCATATCAATATTTTTGAAATTTCGTTTGGAATTTAGCTCTGCTGTCATATAAATTCATTTAGGTTTGTTTAATTTAATTTAATTAATAAAATATTAAAAATAATTTTATATTAATATTTTACATAAAATAATTATTTTATAAAAAATTTTGAAATAAATAAATTATTCAATCTAACTATAAAAATTAAACATTGATTTTTCTGACCAGCTTTCTCCTCGTTTGACTTGTTCCATCCAAGCTTAAATTGTTTTTTTTTTTTTTTTTTTGGTAATTAAACTTACAAACACCGGCTCCCATCAAATCCCCTCTTAATCAAACTCCACTTGCAGCTTCTGCATCACATCAACTTCATTTTCAACATTTTAAAACATATGAACAGTAATATTTTCTATAATAAAAAAATAATATTTTCAAATTAAAACATGTTGATTTTCAACATTTTAAAGTGCTAATCAAGAAAAAAAAAAAGAAAAATACAAAAAGTTTTGGTGGTTAGAGGCTAGAATTGGGACTTTGATGCAGCTGCCAAAGATAATTAAAAGAAGGGCTTACATCTGTCTTTTTCGTAAGGGTTTGCTTTTCATGCACTAAATTTAATTTTGTTGTCACTAATTCATTTATTATTAAATAGCATAATATTAAAATCTACTAGCATCTATATATATATATATATATATATTTTTTATTATAGTTTGCATTGCCCAAAGGTGTTAGTTAGAAATAAATTATATATATATATATATTTTCTATATGATTATTATATTATTTATTTGCCTTGAATAATGGAGTGAGAACTGTGTTATTTAGATGGTCGGGCACAAATAAACAAGCATCATTCACTTGTAATCTTGCAAATTGTAATGAAAGCAACAATATTATCTCAAGGGCCATAAATAAAACGTAAAGGAAATTTTATTCCATTAGCATCAAGTTTCTCAGTTTTTGATATCTTTTCTGTTTCACTTTTTATCATTACTTTTGTACTCGTTGGGTGCTTGTCCAAAATATAACACACCAACAACACTTCCTTTTACACAGGCTACCTTTAGCTAGATAAGATTCTCATTCTATATATACTCTTCTTTCTTGTCTTCCATAACTATTTTGTTCCTTATATATATATAATAAAGGCACTCTCACTTTATGTAGAGTGGACATTGAGTGGTTGTCTTGAATTCAAATTATTTTAAAATTAGGATATATAGAATTTATATCATTATGATTTAGAATTATTTTTGTTGGTGTTGAATTTCGATATAAGAATATTTTTGTGATTGTAAAAAAAAACTAATTAGAGATAAATGTAAAAATATTTTTTTTATTTATATTTCAATGCATAAATCAATAAAAATTAAATTTGTAAGAAAGTAAAAAAAAAAAAGAGAGTGGGATGAATCTATTTTTATGGTGCTTAAATTTTTATATTTATAAGTAAATTAAGGAGGATCATAAGAAAATAATTAAGATAAAATTAAGCTAAAGTGACATTAATCAAATCAAGAATTAACAATGTTGTAAAAATCGTAGTTGTTGATGTTCTTATTCAATTCAAAAAACGGGAATTGATGGACTTGATATGTCTTGTGGTGTGGATACAAATAACAAAAGCAAAATAAGGTGAGTTATGTATAGTATAATTTTTTATAATATGGACTATTATTAATTAATGATTTTATAATTTTAATAAAATAAATTGATAAATTTAATTAATGCAAAATGAAATAATTAATAATAATTATTTATATATAAATTTTATACATTTTATTAAATTAATATAATTTGACGATTGCATAATCCTTTAATCTAATAAATCTTTGATGAGAAAATTTTTAAGATTTTAATAAAAATACATAATTAAAATTTCCTCTTCACTTCTCATTAAAAGTCGTCACTAAAAAAAAGTGAAAAAAAAAATCTAATTTGTTTAAAAAAGTGAGTTAGCTCAGAAAGGAAGCATGGATGTGGTTTATAAGGATGAGGAAATTTTGAATGGCTATCCCAACCCCATGATTTGAAGTGATGAAATAACTTTCTTTCATTTCTTTTTTTTTTTTTTTCTCTCAGTTTTTCTTCCTTCGTACCAAAGATAGCAGAAATGATTTGTTTTTCTTCTTAATGCAATCCGCTTATATTGTATATTGGTAAGATACGTTCAGGCACCTTCACTTTTATTATAAACCTTTGCTTTATATATTTATTTATTTATTTATAAAATGCTTATTCAATTTTCTCTGTCGCTTGTACGTACTTCATTATATAAAATAATATAATAATATTTAATTTTGTTATTAATTGATTGAATATCATGATTTTACCACACACAGGATCAAGTATAAATGCAACAATAAATTTACAATTACATGCTACAACCGAAAGTACACAAACAATTTAGGCTTGATTAAAGCCCAAGGATCATAACTCTTTTCCCTTTCGTTGGACATTTTATTTTTATTTAATTCGATCATTTGTATCTTCAAATTTTATTTGGGTTTAATTTAATTTTTAAATAATTTTAACAATACACTTTCCCACATCAATATAATATATTCAAAATTTTATTTTAAAAATATTTTTCGTAAAAATCAAAATTTGATTGATAAAAAAAGTCCTATTCTTAATAATTGGAGTAAGCAAGTGGAATCAGGGGACATAGGCATTAATAACTAATAAATTAATAAGTGTCCATTGATTTTTGGATCAATTAGTAAGATATTAGAATTAATATTTAAAAATTAGGTAGAGACCATGTGATGCACATTTTCGATTAAATATATCAATAATTAAATAAACAAAGTACTTTTCGATCCAAAACTAACCATATAGCACTGTTCATAAATAAAAATGTTATAAAAGTAAAAATTTAATCTAAATGATTCATTCGTCTTTCTCAGAAGGTGCTTCAAGGTTGAAGTTAAAATATTATATTCACTCAGCATATGTATTCAACAAATATTTAAGGTTATTATATATTGTATTCATTTGTAAAATTTGGTAGGTAGAGATCATGTGATGCGTTGAAATGTATATATACATATATATATATATATATGTGTGTATGCGCGTGTAATACGTACACACATGAATATATACTTAAATAATATAAAATAAGAATATTGGTTAGATGAAAGGCACCTTTTAAACTAAAAACTTTTAGAAGCAAAATTTATGCATGAATATATACTTATTAGTGTTCTTAATTTGTTCATTCATTAGAATAAAAGGTCGTAGAAATGACAGTGGAAATTTTATTTTTAGCATTAGCTTTATTTTGCAATTTTTTTTTAATAGGAAAGAGATCGCACGACTTTGACACAATAAAAGCATTTACAAGATTCTGTTTTAATGTAATAAAATCACAAGAAGTTGTGTTCCTTACCACCTATTGGAAAACCATTTCATAAATCTGTTGTTTCATTCACTAGTGTGTTTGTTGCACAAGAGAACACACATAAATTCATTTGACATACCTTACCATTTGCACCAACTGCTCCTTTCCTTGTGGTGCTCTGATTTCGCCTGGTTCCATACACAGACTACACCATCCAGAGAATTTCTTTTCATCGCCTTCCACGTTTTATTCATTTCCCGGTCACACGGTCGGTCATGAGATATTCTTCGTGTTTATGTTGCCTCGAAAAGAACTCACTGCTCCAAAAGATCTGATAAAACACTTCTCATTTTATCAAGTGAAACAGGTTTCAATATAACACCATCCATACCAACCCTCATGCACTTCTCTTTCGTCACCTTGTCTGTATTTCCAGTGAGCGCCACTATTAATGGCCTTTCATAGCGTTTTGTAAATTTTTCATGTATGCGGATAGCAATTTCATAACCATTAATACCAGGAACACAAACATCCACGAGAACAACCTTGTGCTCATGAGAAACCACATGCAAACACTCATCACTCGAGCTTACCATTGTTACATCACACCCTAGGTGCACAAGAAGCCCCTTAGTCACCATCCTGCTAACCCTGCATTACCACATAAACAGCTCAATGTTCATTCACAGGCATGCAGGAAAAAAAAATCCAGAAAAAGCTTTACTTACCATTACCACAACTACATTATATAAGCATTCACAAGTTGGATAGAAGAATATTAAAAAAAAAAAAAAAAAAATTAAATCAATATATTCTCAGACTTAAAACTGACTCTAATAATTATTTGAAACAACACTCCTATTAGGAGGCGAATCCTACTTCTGAATCATATGTATAAGCTAATAGTATTTTTAGATTTATAAAATGAATAGTCTCATGAAAATGTTACCACAAAAAGTTAATATGTTAATATGTGCAGTCAAACAGTTTTACCACGATATGCTCAGCAGAAAAAGGGAGAAAAATGAATATGAAAGTTCAACCTCAACTCTTAACAGAAGCTTTGTCAAATGAACTGCATACCAATATTCCATATTGCTCTATATTAGGCATATAATCATTTATCTTAGGAGACGTTCCCTTTTAAGGAGTGTATGGACCTTGCATTTTAGGTGGAGAGCAAAAGGCATCCCACACTCAAAGTGTTCAATAGATTTCTTATTATTCTGTCGGTACAAAGTATTCATAATCACTGATAATTCTGAAACATCCCATCCCACTTATGGTAATGATTTTATCGGCTTGGTGATATAAACGGTTTTTATCATTATAAACCTACTTGTCAGATATTTTAAACTTTCATGCTTGTTCTCACATGAAGACTATATACGTGCAAACCATAACAATAGCATGCAGAACTATAGATTTTCAACATTACAAATTTATAATGAATGCATAAAATAAACATACATGAAAAGAATATGTAACTAAACAAGAAAGAAGCATGACTAACAGAAAGATCTTGTTATCTGTAATTAGAAATATGGTTGAAAACATATGAACTAAATAAATAAGGATTAAAATGAACACAATGGAACTGACCCGTTCTCATCCATAACCAGAACTTTAAGCCCAGGAAAAGCTGTCGGACCATGACTTGTTGACACTTCAGGTATGAAGGGAAGTCTAGGCCCATTCAAGCGTTCTGGGATACCTAGTTTTACAATGAAGATAGCAGTACATCCCTTACCAAGACCTTCACTCTCAATCCAAATATGTCCCTCCATTAGATTTACAAACCTGATCATATGATAAAAAAATGTAAAACATCAGCACAGCTAAAACTTCAAAACACCAGTATAAAGGTCAGTCCAAAGCTGCCCATGAAGCCAACTTACTACAACAATAGCTGAGATGGTAAGTACACAAAAAAAGTACCTCTTACAAATTGCAAGGCCCAGTCCACTGCCACCAGAATTTCGTGTTGCTGTTGATTGAGTTTGTGCAAATTTGGTAAATAACTTGGGAATATCTTGGGGGCTAATCCCTGAACCAGAATCTTTTACCTACACCAGAAGCAAAGAAGCATAAACATTATCAATCTCTAAGATCAGGTGATAGCTGAATAACGCAGAAAATACAACTGGCAACAATGGAACCAACCTGTACACGCAAATAAAAGTGATTATCACTTGGCACGGGGAAAAATTCAGGGGCTCGAGGATCTCTCAGTGACTCTGATTTTGCAACAAAAGCAGTGACAGAAATACTGCCTTCCTTTGAAAATTTCAACGCATTACCAACAACATTTAAAATTGTTTGCATCAGGCGCTTCTCGTCACCAATGGCATATTCTGGCAAGTCTGGAGCCAAATTTAATGAAACATTAAGCTTTTTAACAGACGCAATGGGCTTGATCAAGTTAAAGACCTACAACGCAATAAATGCACTTCAGTAGAATGACAAACACCGGCAGCACTTTAGAAATTTCCAAAAGCCACAGGAAAACGAAATTCTACCTCTCTGAATACAGCATAAAGGTTAAAAGTTCCAAGTTCTAGTTGAAGGCTGCCATCTTCCAGCCTAGAAAGATCCAATACATCATTTATTAGAGTAGCAAGAAGGTTACTACTCTTAAGAATTGTTTCAACCATCAAACGCTGTTCAGGTGTCAACTCAGTTTCCTGAAGCAAAGAAGATAGAGCAATAATTGCATGCATTGGGGTTCTCATCTCATGATTCATAACAGCCAAGAAATCATTTCGAGCACGGATTGCTGTCTCTGCTTCTCTTCTGGCCAGATCAAGTGCAACATTCTGCTCCATAAGAAGATCCCTAGCCCTCGTTGACTCTTCTAAAATTGCAGCATGTGAAAGAGCAACAGCTACCTGAGTTGATTACACAAATTTACAAATAAGTGCTTTTACCAACATTGATATCGGAAACATAAGCAGAAATCAAGAGGGAGAAACTTATCTACTGCAGGTAGCTATAAGGAAAAACAAGAGAATGCAGCAACAAGTGATAGGACAGAATGGAAAGAGACAGAGAAGAGCTAAGGGAGCAAAAAGTAACAGATGAAGAATATAGATAGAAAGAATCTCTGATTTTGAATTCCATAATTAAATCTAACGTTTGCTAATCACAATAATAAGTATTTTTTGTTGCAGACTAACTCCAAAACAAATAAGCACACCCATAACAAAACCTCAAAATATCTCTTCTAAAATAAGTGCATGTAAAATCTTTTGACAAAGGCTTTTCATTGCTGCATTTTCTTATGTAATAGTCTGTCTTCCCTTTATGGTAAACCAGTCAATTTGAAGTCATTTTGAGACACCGTGCAATTAACTAAACCCTAGAAAATAATTTACATAGACACATTTTCATTTTTTGGTCCGGTTTTTAGAAATAAACCCCAAGATCAACCCAGCTCTCCAAAATCCATAAATGACTACTGCAACAACAGTGTCAAACGACATGCGCAATTAACAGAAATATTCCCCTATGAATGCATTCCTAACAGTAGAAAACCTACGCTTCTGGTAAAGTGGAAACAAATTACAGAAGAAAAGGGAAAGCTTCGTCAACTACAATAAATTCTTGAAACTGCTGCATATAGTGATTATAATTACCTCAAGTCAATTACAATAGGTCATTTAAAAAAAAATGACCATGGAATACTACAAATGGATATGCACAAAAAAACTGAAGTCAATTTAACATTCACCAGACAAAATATTGAAAAACATTAAAAATTGGGAAGGGGTGGCAGAAAATATTTAACACATAGTTAAGAAGTAAACAGGGCAATTTTTACCTGATCAGCAACCACTTCAACAAGCTCCAACTCATGTACATGCCATTGCCTTGCACTATCTGAAGGAAGCATCAAAACCATCAAAGCATATCGTTTTGTTGAAAGTTCTGGCCAAGCATTAATTTGGAAATTGGAAAGATGTAGCAGTGGGACACGAACAGCAACCACCTCCCCAGGCATGTACTTTCCTGCAGGCCTTAGTCTTGCTACTGGACAATTTGGAGATATTTTTACTGCACGACTGCTACTAAATACTTGATTGATCACAGGAAGATGGATTGGTACAGTATACCCAACTGGATTCTGTTGACGAAGAGTGTAGGAAAGTTGGAGTTCTAACCCAGTACGTGTTGGCATCCACAATGCACATTCTTCTAGAGCCAAGGTTCGACCCAATTCAACAAGAGTGGTTCTTAGTATTGTATGTCTATCCAAAGTACTTCTGATCTCATGAGTAAGCATCCTAACATGTCGACCTGTTTCTTCTTGTGTACGAATCAGGCCCATTTCTCTATCAAGCTCTGCAGCCTTATTTTTCAAAAATAACTCTCTAGTTTTTACGCTCAATAGATCAGGAATAATATGTACAAGCATCAAGGCAGTTGCACATGATACCACAGCAGTCAAAACCTTTGAAGTGGTCATTACTACTGCCACAGTTCTTGTGTGCATTGTAAAAGTCCACAAGCTAATAAGATGTGTTGCCCCACAAAGTACTATAAACGCACCAAACTGCACAAGGACCCATTTATATGGAAACACAGCAGATTTCTTGACGAAGTATATAAGCTCTAAAGGGATTGAGAAATAAGCAAGTGCAATGAAGAAATCAGAAATATATTGATATTTCATCAACAGCTCATCTGCAGGCCATTGTGGCTCAATGCAGTAGCAAGACTCCATTCTGACTGAAACACCAAGCTCTTGCTTCTTCAAATATCTGAAGGAAAAAGGTATATTATAAAAATTTCACAAATCCGTTTGGTTTACAAGATAACAAGGAAGATAGAATAAAACATACAGTGTTTGATATTTACTTGGAGGGGAATGCAAGATGTGAAATTGGATGACTTCCAGGTGTAGGATGATTAAATCCTATTTTTATGCTTCCCGCTTTACCCTAAGAAGTTGCATCTTTCTCCAAAATTTTTCATTGTGATGTTACCCTATAATGTTGATTAATTTAGATTAATGATTACAAAAAAAAATCATCATATCTTATATTTGATAACAAAATTACACCAAATGTGACATATGAAAAAATTACTTCTATATCCTATTGTTAATCTTGGTTTCATAAACAAAAGATATGATCAAAGAATCCTCCCCACTGTTTGCTTACCAAACAATCCTTAAGCATAAACAACAGTGAAATCGAAAATAAACAAAACAGTTAAGTAAAGATTAAGCCGAGCAATATAATCACGATAAAGAGACTCTGACAAGTTAGATTCTGCAAGACCAAACAAAAACACACTAAATTATCACGTTATGCAGTGAAAGACGCAATAAATTCAACCCAAAGGAAAACCATTTCTCATAACCTAAATTTTATGATAACAAATACCAAAAAAAACAAAAGGGTCCCTTCCAACAAACAAAGTGAGAGGTAAAAACAAGCAGAGGCCAATACAATTACGCAATTTACATAAGTCTTATTATATCAGTCAATCCTAAAAAGACATACCCAAGTTCCAGAAACTGTAAAAACAACATAAAATGAAAACCATATCATGAAAATGATAAACAAATCTACAGTCAAGTTAGACAAAAAGCAAAAACCCAAATTTCCAAAAACAGAAACTTGCCCAAAAAACCAATCAAGCTAGGAAAACTGCTAGCTGGAACATCAACATAAATTTCCCCAACAAGTTGCCACAGCACAAAAAAATAGAAGTCGAAATTAAAAAAAAAAAAAAACTTTTAGAAAAATCAAGTAAAACATGAACATAAACACAATAAAAGGAAAGCAAGAGCAACTTACCTTGTTGATTTTTTATGGCAGGTAAATTGCTATTTTTTTTCTATTAAGACAACCTTTGACGATCTGCCCCTTCGGGGGTTGTCTTTGTTTTTCCTTTGGTGTAGGGAGTAGACAATAGACGCCAGAAACACATGGGGGGTTTATGTTGCGTCCTTACCTGTCTGTCAATTTTGTTTAAGAAACAGACGGTCCAATCAAGTTGGCTTCGACTTTCGAGTTACTGCTCACTTACTTATTCTTGATTGAAGTGGGAACCCATTCATGACATGATGTACGATGGAGATTATGTTGACTGTTACAGATGGGTAACTCTCTCAGTCTAGCCTACAGTAAAAGGCCACTCAACGTGGATGATAACTTGTATTTATTTATTGTTTTTGCGTGTAAATATCAAGAGGGTAATGTCTTAGCTTTCAGGTAATAATTTTATGGATATTTATATTTTAATAAATTGAATTGTCCATGCTTTAGCATTTCTCAAATGAGTTTTGATTATTAAGATTCCATTGCAAAAACTATTATGAAATTTATATGTGGTTTAATTACAATCATAAAATTTAGCTTATTTAATATAAATACCGAAAAAAATCAGTTTTTTAATAAAATTAGGTTGACAAATTATCATCTTGACATATGAATTACTTAAGTTGATGGCATGTATTTTTAATTAAATTGTTTAATTTGAATTAAAATACTATTTATTTTAAAAATAATTTACATGACTGAATTAATTACATTTTTTTACATTTAATATGTTTGTTTTCTATAAATAAGTTACAATAAAAATTTTTAAAATTAGTATTAAAATTTCAAATTAATTACATTTGATATATTATTGATAATAACAGGTCGAATCGAAATTGATTTTTATTCGCTTTGAATCCGTTTCGATTTGATATTATATAAAACTGTACATAATCAGATCTAATTTGAAATTAATAAAATAATATTTTTAAATATAAAATATTATTTTTAATATAAATATAAATATATAAAAATATAAAATTAATTAATTAATTAAAAATAATTTTAAAAAATATATATCGAGTTAGGATGAATTTATTTAAAATCTGATTTTGAAAATTTTTTATTATTATCTAATCTGACTCAACTCAAAACTTAATTTAAAAAAATTTGATCTTAACCAATCAAGTCGAGTTGAAGCTTGTCGATCACGGATAAATTTATCATCTCTAAATGTGTACAATTAATAAAAATTTAAGTAAATCATATTTCAAAATTGTAATTCTATCAAATAAAAATTTGAAATTTAAAATTTATGTGGATTGATTTTTATAATTATTTTTAAAAAGTGAAATTTAATATATTTAAAATTTAATTTTTAAAACTTATAATTTTTCCTGTATATAAACTACCGCCTATAAAAAATATAATTTACTTCGAACATGAGTTTTGTCCCTTACCGACGAATAATCAATACCATGACTCTGCTGCTTTTCATAATCTTGGCGTCAACGGTGCTTGTCGGGAAGGCCTCGTGATTGTCAAATTTGACTCCTTCATGTCGGGGAATGGGAGGGTGTTAGGGTCTAGGGAATGGAGGGTAAATAATAAAAATTTGCCTCTTGAATTTTAAATATGGGGTATATTTAGTGTTTAGGTGATAAAGTAATTATGGGCTGGAAATGAAACTATTCCTTGTTATTGATATAATTTTTAATAAAGGAATTTAGTTTACTGCTTAAAAAAAATTACTTTCCAATAAAATTTAAATGAAAATTTTAAGTAAAAATTATGAAATTAAAAAAAATGATTTAACAAAAATTTTAATAAATAATTTAAATTAATAGAGTTCAATGTAAATATCAATAATATATAAATATATATTTAAAATATTATTTATAATTTAAATTTAATAAATACTTATTTAACAGTAAATGTTTTATCAACAAATTTTTTTTAAAATGATTATTTAAAAAATATATTAAAATTTAGTAAATTTTTTTAAAAATTTTGTAAACTTAATCTAGGTAACAAATTTTTTTAATTTTATCAATTTTAATTTTTGAATTTAGTTTTTATTTAATCATTTTCAATAAAAAATTTCACAAACTTTACTTAAAAAATTTTATATAAAATTTTTTTAATATTTTTATGATAATAGCTTTGACAACAGAAAATTTCATGGTATGTACCTCTACTTATAACCGCTCCTACATGCTTAAAAAATAATTTCCAATTGCTAAATTAGATATTCTTTGTTCCTAAACTCTTTGCATTGGATGGTTGTACTATATGTATATCAATTCACTATTTTATACTCATATTTATTTTATGCACTTCGGTTATGATTTTGATTTTAATGGTTCTTTTTTTTATTTGTTTATATTAATGGTTTAGGGTGTGAAAATTGAATTCGAAAAGGAATAAGATTGCATAATTACATTCTAAATTAATTAATTTTGGTTTTAGTTTGATTTTTTTTGTAATGAATAATGCATTAAAATAAGAAAGTAAAATAGTAAATAAATTTATTCAATATTTTAGTAATAAATAAATTTAATAATGTCATATTTCAATGGTAAAACTCCCAACAATTAAAATGGTCATGAAAACTTAATAGTTTTCTTTTTTTTTTTTTCCTTTTTATCAATTGAAACATATTCTAAACATTAGGAAATAAAGTTAATTTTGTAAACAATACTTAAAGTTAAAAAAAAAATTAAATAAATCCTTCCAAAGCCACACAAATATGATTGTCGTATTATGACTTAAAGTGCACCAATGAAATTAATATGGTTAATTGCATTTATAATAATTATTTCACATTGAGTTTCTTTGAAAATGTACTATATTATTTTCAAAGGTTAAAAATGCAAATTGATAATCCAGTTGTACCTAATAAATTTATAAATTTATTATAAAACAAGTCAAAGATTGCTTGTTAAATTGATTTATCACCCATTGTTGAAATTAGATTTCAAATTATATTATTATGAAAACAAAATTTTGATTTTATAGAAATTTTAATATATTGAGTTTTTTTAATAAAATTATTGGATTAATAAATTTACAATTTGTTTGTTTATTCAGTGCATGGTATGGATTTAAAATTAGTAATAAATAAATAAATTTTATTTTAAATAGTTTAATTAAATACATATACTTTTTTATTAAAATTTGGATTCAGTTAAAAATTTGTCACTCTAATTAATTGATTAAGTTATTTCGATATTCCGCATTGAATGTTATGAAATCAAATCTAGAAGATTAGAACTCAAAATATCAATTAAATTGTCTAACTATTTACAAATAATTTTAAAGATGTTAATTTTTTTCGTATCTAATAGAAAATTTGATTTTTTATTAGAATATGAATGTGGATGCAAATGGATTTATATTATAGAGATGGAGATGAGATAAGTATAATTTTAAATTATGTTATCCGTATGAAAATATGAACAAATAATATGGCACTTGCTTTGTATTTTTACCTATACTTTCTATATATATATATATATTATATATATTTAGTAATAATTTTTATTAAATAATAAAAATTATTATTTTAAATTAATTAAAAATAATATATTTTTATTTAAAATATATTAATATATATTTATAAAAATTTACATAAATATGAAAATTAAAAAAAGCTAAAAAATAAATTTTAGTTTTATTTTTTAAAAAAAGTTACACATACCAAAATTTATCTACACCAATTAACTATTAGTAGGGATGAGGATAGAGATAGATTTCAATCCATTAGATTTGATTATAAAAATAGATATAATATAATCCATCCCATACCTTTTAACATCTCTAATTATAACCCTACAAAAAAAAATTTCAAGGGCAGAAAAAAAAAATCATAAATGTTTATGTCTTATAAGTAACGGAATAGTTATACATTTTAACTATTCTCGTATCAATAATTAAGTTATTAGTTATCTATCTATCTAGATATTTTATAGATAAATTTGGTTTATAAAATGTAAAACATTTATCAAATTTATTATGCTACTATGTTAAAATTTTTAATTGAACTATAAGAATAACTATAAGCAACCGATGAGAAGGAAAATAAGAGATTAAAGAATAAATCAAAGTGCAATGAACTAAGCATTCTAGAAAAAGAAAACTAAAAATGATGTGAATAGTAAAGATTTCTTATTTCTTTGAAATAAAACAAAGGGAAAGGGAAATCTAAAAAAACACAAAATAAAAAAAAAATTTATGCAATTTTCCTCAACATAAGTAGATATAACATCTAAGAACATAGTATCATAAAAATCTTTTTTTTTTTTATTTGAGGAAAAAGGATTTGCAAGTGCTCTTTGGTAAACAATTATTTATTAATATTTGAATCAAATGTTGGTGTATTTGTAAAAATGTATAATAGTTAAAAAATTATCATAATCACTTATAATACAATTTTAAATTTTATTTTCAAAATTAATAGAATCACAAATACCTCTTAAAATATAATAAAAAAATTAAAAACAAATTATAAAAATGGGATATATGATAGTATCTCGGTTGTAAAATTAAAAAAAAAAAATTACATTTTTAACGTATAAAAACTAAATGATTAAAATCTTATGTAAATCTTAACGGCATCTTTGGTTTTCAAGTATTCACACCAAGGAGAAAAATTCAAGAAATGAGTGAAAATTTTTTGGGGGCTTTAGATTTAACACATAAGAAATAGGCAAAGACTGGCCCATTTTCCCAGCAAAACAAACCCATAAAACTACAATTTAAGGCCAGAAAAGCCCGACAATAACCCCTTCCTTGCAAGTTGCCACACCGTAAATCAGTCTATGGGCCTAACTTTATAAACTAGTGACCCAAGTTTTTTAAAAGACAAAAAAAAAAGTTACCAAAATGAAAATTTATGTTGTAAAATGCCAGTGAAAATTTTTAAATTGAACAAGTAAAAAGATTAATAAGTTCCTTATTAGGGTATAATTATGATAACAAATTATTTATCAAATAAAGGAAAAATAAAGATAATCCCCAAACACTATATATGGGCTTTTCTCATTTTGGTTGTGTTTTCAACCCTTTCATTTCTAGTGAAAGATTTAACCATATATATTTTTTTAGGAATAAGATATAAGCAAAAAAAAAAAAATTTTTGTTACTTAATTTTTTGAGTAAAATTCACTAATAATCCATAACTTTTATAAATGTATTATTTCCTTTCATGAGCTAAAAAAAAATTATTTACAAAAATGACATTGTAAAAAGTTTGACTATCTCTCTGTAAATCAAACATCAAAAGCTACCAAAAATGTTCAAGCAACCTCCATCTGTCAGTCCATGTGACCTGATAGAGATACGTGGCATGACCCATCAACTTGTGTGGTACATCACCATATGAATTTTATTCTAATTTCTTG